GTCTCTAGTATATATATCTATATATATATATAAACTAGGGACATTAATATTTAGCTATGTAGTAATTATAAGCGAGTCGGCAGATATTCCATTATAACTAAAAGAGCGTCACATGTATTCGTGATGGCAAATGGAGATTAGTACAATGATATATACGTAAGATTAGCACAGCGCAAGCTGCATTGAACGCTATATCGAGCAATCCGTCTTTACAATGTGACACGAAATGACGAGATTTATTGGCAGAAAATAAATTTCGTTGTAGGATTTTCCAATATTTCATCTTCAATTCCAACTGTATAACGCCTGCATAAAACCCACGCGAGGCGTCGAAAAGAATTGAATTTTGGCATACCACCACAAACTTAAAATGAAATTCAATTGAAAAGTCTGATAATTTTTTTACAGTATCGTGCATCGAAATAAATTACAATATCGTATCTTGTTGTGTAAAATGAAAATGTAGTCATTTCGCGAAAGTAAAAATGCAGAAGAGGAAGAAAGAAAAAAAGAGAGAACAATTTCTCTTCGAAGATTTTTATATGTAAATTACTCAAAATATATACATATTTTTATTATGTGTATATATACATATATATATTTGTAGTAATAATTTGTAGTAACATATAAAGTGAATGTAATAATATAACAGTTAATTTTACAAATTAAAAATTAGCGTAATATTATATTAAAAATTATACAATATTTATTTCATTGGCAAATTCATTTTTAGCTTTATTCGATAAAAGTATATATTCACTAAGTGAACTTAAATATTCGTATGTAAATATCGATGAAGAAATTTGGGAAATTATCTAATATCTGCAGACGTGCAGTCAATTCAAGCTTACAGTATCCGAGAAAGAAATCTCGGGCGCGATTCGATCGATGACCTAGCCAGACGGTACCTACCTCTATGCCACGTCGATTCCTCCATCGCACCCACTTGTTGAACCCTGGCCGCCAATACTCGACAAAGTACTCCTCGGTGTACTCGACCCCGTTGCCATTGCCGAATCTGCCCTGCGTTTTGGTAGACGTCAGTAAACGCGGAGTATGCAGGTTCACCTCCAAGTACTCCTTGCCTTCCTTGGTTACCATATTTCTCGGGCACCAAGCACCGCCACCCCTGTCTTGTCGCAGCCTGAGAAACCGAGGTATTATATCAGGAGTTATTACGAATGCTCTTGAAGAAAGTACGTCGCGTGAAGACACGCGAATAATAACGCACACGTAGCGACGTATATATGCTTGCGTGACAAACGCACGTGCGCGTTCTCGTTATGCTTTCCTAGTCGCATTTTTTGAGTCGTGGTAACTACCTTGTACGCATCGAAAAGAAAGTAATAAAAGTGATATCCAAATGGAAGATATACATATGTATATACAATACATAGGTATACATCTCGATTATCGTGGATTTATTACGTGGATGACATAATTAATGAATTTTCCGTCCTAGTTTCTTTTCAAGATCAACAGCCGCCTGCGTGTAAATTAATGACGCGGCGATTGATTTACGGGCGATCTTTGAATCTGAGCACGCTACCTCGTCGAGGTTCACGCGGTATTGATTATGAATAACTTATTTTGCAACGAAGCTTTTATCGCGATAGCAGTTTCTTGTGGACAGAAGAAAATGGAAGTAATTTTTTCAGGGCTGTTGGAGCTCGCGGAAGGGAGTAGGGAAGAGACTGGTGGTTAATAGATTCTGGCAAGAGAAATTATAATCATAATAAATTTATGTACAATTTTAAGAAAAGATAAAGCATTAAAAATTACAATAAAGAATCTATAGTTATAACTCCATATCAATTTCGATTTTCAATTGAAACTTTGTGTTATTTATAATATAATAGTTTATTTTGAGATATGTTTAGAAGATGAGATTTAAAAAAAGAATTTATTAAGAATATTCAATATATATATATAGTATATAGAAAAAGTATATAAATATATATAGAAATATATATTTAAACTTTATCGATTCAAGTAGAATTAATAACCAAAGTAAACAAATCTGCAAGTAGTTATTCTATAGATAAATAATCAATATTTTCCCAAATATATTTCTGCAAATTAAATTACACCTTGAGAGACCTTCTGTGTTGTTTCCACTCATGTGGCATACTTACGCGTATCATACTTACTCTCTAAATCTGAATCAATGGATAATCACTAATTACCCAGTGGCATACTTGGCACTGGGTAATCAGTAAAACTCAACTAAGAAAGGAAAAATGTTTGAGCATTATATAACTACAATACTGGTATTTGTACATTAATTTCAATACCATATCTTCCAATACTATATTGAATTTATTCACTAAAACAAAATTAGTTAGATCACATAATAAAGATTAGCTAGATTAGGGATCTCCACACATTTCAGTCACTGATTACCAGTGGCATACTTTGCACTGATATCAGTGATTATCCACTGATTCAGATTTAGAGAGTATGTATGCTACAAGATTCTGTATGCAAATTGATAATCTTACTTCACATAATAAAATCGGACAAAAAATAAACATTAAAAGTGGTTTCGATTATTAAATTTGCAACATAATCTGTGGAATACGCAGGAGTTGTCGGAAGCGTAAAGTGTATTCTGCCAAGCACCTTAATTCCCAATTCTCTGAATTTTCAAAGCTAGTTGCTCTGACAATAAATCCGCTAAATTAAATTCCGGAAATATATCTTTCGTAAAGAATTTCGTGAGGCGTATCGGCTCGCTAATTAAATCTTAAAACGAAACTCCGCGCGTATGATGACAAAGTTTATAAGAGACCGATGCGTTATTATCAGGTGTTATTTCCGACACGAGCTTGTCACAAGCATACATCCTGGAAATCTATTGAAATACATATATCTATGTACACGGTTGTGTCACAAAGGGAGAGAGAATCTCCATGGAAATATTTCAGCTGGTTCAGTCATGGAGGACTGCAATACATATAGGCGGTATGCCCGCATGTAAACAATAGACCAAGCGAAATCCACTGAAAGCGTTTGCGGTTAATTAGGCAGCAATACTGTTAACAATGTCCTGGCTTCAGCAAGGCTCTCCGTAACCTTGCTTAGCAATCCATCGCAATCCGTAGTTATGCGGCTCGATGAACATGGGGTTTCGTTTAAATAAAGTCACTATATATATATATATATATATATATATTGCTGTGGTGTTCTCGCAACCAATTTCACGAAGAAGACGATATTTATTTGACGTCCATTCGCAATTGTGAACGAGATTGTGATAAAGATAAAAGGGATGTAGAAATTGAGAATTTCGACAACAGTGCTGATTGTCATAAATGCATACGTACAATTAAATAGAGCGGATTGTTTTACAATACAATGCGTAAGTCATTTGCTCTGAATCACGGTTGATTTATCGAAATTTCTATTTATCGTTATCTGCCTGGTTACACATCGATAATAATCGTTTTCTCCTCTCTTCACGTTTATTCGTGGTCGGCATTCTATTTATCTCAATTCATGATAAAATTCAAATCAAATGTGATTCAATTTCTGAGATAAAATAAGCTGAATTTCGTTAATTTTAGATATTAATATATTTTATTATTATCGTATTTCATTATTATTAATATCTACAATAACTACAAAAATTTTATCAAATTCTGTTTTATTGAAAATATTTGAAAATTTAAAAATATATAAATTATTTCAGAGGTTTTGTAATAAAGATCGTTTTCGTTATTTCGTTCTTTCATTTCGAGAAGTGACTTTTGGTAGTAATACCAAGGTACAATATTGACCATGTTGCAGTACTTCCGCCCGTTAATTGCACCATCAACGTTTCCAGATGTCCCGTAAGTTAGACATAAAAATAAAAGAAAGAGACGTACCGGGAATCGTAAAAATTCCCTTACGTGTCTTCTTCGAACCTGAAGGATCCATAGCGTAGAAATGTAAGACTGCCCGTTATTAAACGTAAACATATGTTCAGAATGCATTACTTAGAGAAAGTATTTAATCAAAAATCTCTCATGAAAAGAGGTTTTTGTGAACATTGATAATGTTAGGTAACGAGTTTGCTAGGAATATTGGAAAATTTTGCGATTATAATTCACGGTTTATTGTCTCGCAATAATTAATTTGGATCATTAAACGTCACCTATATGATTAAAATAGCTTATTGCAACTTTTACAATTTAAGGAAGGCAACTAGAAATATGATGAATATATTGTACCATCAATTTTAGTTTAAACTAATTAAAGTTAACAATGTTATAATAGTCATTTTTTTCAGAAAATAAATTATTCCATCTATATAAAAAATATAATACTCGATATTATAAATATAACACACCGAACCTTTATATATCTAGTTAAACTATAAAATGTCAAATAAAATGTAATAATATTGGAACTATTAATAACACTAGATCCTCACTATAAGTTCTGCA